GAAAATATGAAAATATTGTTAATGGTTATTGATAGACGTTTAAATTGAAATTTATATTAAATATAGAGATATTAAAGACATTAAAGGTCACCACAAGTAATTGCACACTTAGAGTGTATGTTGCATTAGGGCAAAGTGATATTATCCCTAATGCAAAAATATTGCAAATTATTTGTTAACGAGTTTAATATCCAAGGGATGTCGACTTATGCAAATCGAAGATTTCTCCTTAATTAATGAAATACATGGTAATCGCGAGACGCGCCTTTACAATAGATAAATAAAGGGGTTTTCGAATAACTGAAAATTGATTCGGCGGTGGGACATACGATCTGGATTATGAAACGGCGCAAAAACTTTGTTGATAAGCGAGCGAGACGAGCAAGAAAGTAGCGAGGAAGAAACACCAAATAATAATTTCATTATAGATTGAACGACGGGATAGATGAAAAAAGTATAGAAGTGAAAGCAATGTTGATTTGCGTCACTCGTTTCCTCTCGCTTTTCCGCTTTTTTTTTTTTCTTTTTCTTTTTCCGAACAATTGTTTAGAATCAAGATTTCAAAGTGCATCAATATTACTAATCAACGATAATTCATATTGACGAATATTATCAAATTATGCGAAAATCAGGGATTTTTACCTTATTTCATTATTGACAAGAAATTTAAAATCCCAGAGAAAAACTCTCTCTGCTATTGCATCCAATTTTGAAGGTCAAACAAAGGGGAAGCGACCAAGGATGACGAGAAGAACAAGGACATAAGCTTAACATCAATTTCAACAACGTGACCCGAGCTACGATAATTGATGAAGCGGTGGCGAATTTCCTTTTGTCAGACATCTCAATGCACTGTGGAGAAGGAAAGTTGAAGAGAGCAGTAGCTAGCGACATTAGTTTGATAGATTAGCGAGACATTATCGGAATTTTAACGACAATCCCTTCGATCGTCCGTCAATCACGAACGGATCGATGAAGGAGTCGGAGAGTCGTCAACGAGCAGCCAATTCCGCTAACAAACACCGCCGAATTGTTCAACAGCGAATTCTGTCCAATGAACTAGCAACAATTTAAAAATTTTTATGCGATAAATTGAGTCAATTTTTAACACTACGAGACAAATTCACGCCTCATAAATATTAAATATCTCATAACTATCGAACTAGAGTTCACCCGATTTATACCTTTGTTTTGATTTGTGCATTTGCTATTATGCAAATTCGGAAGCTCAGCAATCGCTAAAGTATAAAGCGATTATTAAAGCGTTAAAAAAGAGTTGCGAGAATGAGCGAAAATGTTTTTTAGATAACGCTCGCGAAGCCAATATTGATATATGCACACTCTCAAATTGCAATATGGAAATAAGAAAATTATTATCGAAGAAATATTATCAGATTATAGATCGTCGCCTTCAATGGATAACGGGTGGATGGGGAGGGGGAGTGGGAGGGGGGAGGGGGGGGGCTTTGCTTATTTTGCAAGAAAATTGAAAAACGAATTACAGCAGTGAATAGAGCATTTGTCTTGATTCCACCTTTGGCATGATTTGCTATTGGTACAAGTAATTAAGAAGATTAGAGAACGGTTGTCTGTCTCTATAGGAAGGGCCGTTCGACCTGTCTCCAAGTGTACTTCATTACTATCATTGCTGGTATGAAGCTTCGAAAGTACCATAATGAATTGTTTTTTAAAATTTTACGTCTCTTTTGGCTTTTATGCGCTCTTTAAATGGGAGACAATTAATTGCACTCGGTATTAATAGATTGGACTTTGTTCGATTATGTAATTTTGTAAACACGTTTAGCATAAAATTGCCTAGATGTTGGTTGTAATCAACGATTTTCAGAAAGGATTGAAACAAGTTTTTTTTTTTTTTTTTAAAGGTCACCTATATTTAGTGACGCGAAAAAGAAAAGCAAAATTAATGACGTTTTGTTATTGGGAAGAAATAACGTTAAGGTGGTGCGAGCCACGAATTGCATTTAAACGTGCACGAGAATCTTGTATAACCTCGTCAGATTAATAAAGTTTATTAATAATGTTTATTGATAAGCAAAAAGTCATTTAATTCAGGGAAAATTGCTTCGATTATATTCCGATGATTTGAATTGGCTAAAAATACTACCACCACTCCACTTTAAAATACTTATGTAAGAAATATTTTCAAATCATCCTGTAATCGAGGATTTATCATAATTCAAAAGATCGTGAGCCTTTTTTTTTACCCCCCCCCCCCCCACCCCCCATCAATAAATAAAATAAATTATTTTTCCTGATTAACTGGTAGAATGAATTAATCGATATTGCCGAGTACGAAAATTGAGATTTATATAAATATATATATAAAATATATAATAGGACAAACACGCATAAGTTGGTTCAATGTGCGTTACATCACATACTCCTAAAGATCAAATTTATATTATTTCTACTAATGTTTAATTGTATTTATTATTGTATTTATTAATGTTATTTTATTTTTATTGTCTTAAATATTTATTAAATATATATAGTTTGTAAGTTAGTATCGAGCCGTTTGGTTATAAAATATAATTTTTGTTTTCTACAATTGCGTTTGGCATATACGAGTAATAATTGCCAGAGTACAATATCGTTTTCAATATCGTGAAAAATGCTTGAATACTTATTATATAAATGTTGGATATAAGTTTTGCATGGAAAATGAAATAAATAATAGGGATATAAAGACGAGAAATCATTAGTGTTGTTTAATGCTTTTTATCGGTCGACGAAGATAGGAATAATAAAAATAACTTATATATATATATATATATATATATATATATATATATATATATATATATCAAAAAATAGAGATTTTGATTGAATTTTCGAATGAAAAATCATCTCTACAAATAAAAAATTATATACTTGTACGTAATTGTTTCTGGAATAGTTAGTTTTTGTTGCAATTTTACAAATTTTATGAACAAAACAAAAATTAATTATATTACTGTATAACATAATTTATTATCTTATTTTTTATTTTTTATTTATTTATTTTTTTTTTTTGCTACTACTCCTATAGTTTGCAGCAAGTGACATTGATATTCGTTTAAGATTGAAGTCAAATGTCTATGGTTGGAAATGCCTAAGGGATAATAAGCCGAAAGCAACTGCGATACATGAGAAATTATAAGTAGTCATATATATATATATATATATATATATATAATAATGGTCGAGACGAGAAATTTAAATATCTTCTTAATAGAGTTGAGAAAATTGTTTATTCGATAATAATCTAATTGTATTTCTATTAAGAAAAAAAAATTTCTATACTTTCTCCTCATTTTGTAAAAATTTTAAGTAAATGATAATATTGATTAGGGAATTAAAAAGAATTAGTATTACAGAATATGTTAATCTGATATACAAAATATGATTTTAGGACGATTAGATGGTTAAGGAAAGGAAAAGCGGTCATATTGTTAATTTAACATGATTTTCGGATAAATAATAGAGAGCGTGAATAAGTGTACGAGCGATGTTAGTGGATACAACAAAATTTCATTAATTTACCAAACAATGATAAGAAGGTTTACCGATAAAAAAAGGCGAGCTTCTTTTCCTTACTAAATTATCATTTATTATTCAACATCAGTGGCAACTATGTTTCAAGCCCAAGACTGTCCTTGAACATTTGTATTGATACATTTTCTAGCGAATCAGCGTGGTTGCGTATTAATTTAATTTTCTTAAGTTTCATATTTTAATACCAGTAATAGGCAATAGTAGACATCTGGTAATGTAATTGTATGGATAGTGGAATATTATCGGTGATTTTGTCAGAGCAGCAACGAGACTCTTACAAACAAATTGATTTCAAACAATTAAATGGTCGATCTGCGCTGTGGTATTACGATCAGTCAAACGTAAACGAGTGCGTCCGTTAGTGTAAGGGAGTGAGAGAATCGACTAAGAAGCCCTTTTAAGTGCAAGCGCTGATCGTAAAACTTGCCTTCTCTTGTGTGTCAAATTATCGCACGAGTCAAATTATCATTTGGTCTCCCTTCTAGCTCAGCTAACATCCCGAAGAGGACAAGACCTTGGCTCTTGTAGGTCCTGCGTAAGGTAGATCATCGACGACGTCGTTTATTAAAAAGTTTTCGTACAGTCTGTTGCAGTGAATTATGGCCAAGTTCGGTGGTGCTTTCGTAAATTTGTTAGATTACTCTCAGAGCGCTAGAAATTACAATCAATCTAATGAACGATAGGTCGAGGTAACATGCGACTTTATAGTTAAACGCGCATCTTTGATAATAGTTACGTAATACGCGAAATGAGTTTGATTATCAGAAGAGTTTTTGTGAAAATGAAATTGGAGGACAATTTAAAGAGGTGCCGTAATTGCGATGAAAGAAAAAAGATGAAAAAAAAAGAACGGGGAAAGAAAAAGAAGTGTAATTGACGTCAGGGAAATTAAGGCGCGATTATTTAAAAGTCGTATTTGCCCGTTAAACTTGTCAACGACAATTTCTTTATTCTGGGGACTAATAAGCAAGGGCCCTCTTGCATCAGACGTAATGCATGAGCAATAAAGCTTTACTCTTACTGGCATCGCAATACATAAATTTAACAAACGGATAAATAGCTAAATTAAATAAATGCGCGCGCGCGCACGTCGTGTCCGCCGATGTAAAGGGCATGAATTTACAGGAGAAGGCGGACACGCGCGCGTATGCGGCCTGTGTGACTTTCAAAGTGTTGGGTCATCGACGTGTACGCACATCGTCGTGTGGATCTGGGGTGGGGGGGGGGGCAAAAAACAAAAAACAAAAAACAAAAAAAAAATGTATGTTGGCCAACCTACATAGACGCAGGCGCGCGCCCTCTCTCTCTCTCACTCTCTCACACTCTCTCTCTCTCTCTCTCTCTCTCTCTCTCTCAGCCACATACTACACGCTTGGACGGTATACGCTTGGGATGGTGTGGGGGTAAGCGTGAAGCGAGCGTGCGCAGTTGCGTTTACGTGCGTGTTCGTGTGTAGAAAGGGAGACGCTCTTTGCGCGACGTTGTCCACTTTCTACGAGTCGTCCAATGGCGGCGGCTTACAACAATGGCTTGTGTGGAATAGTCGTCGCTCTCGGGAGAAAAGTGACCGAAGGACGCTCGCGCATGTACGCGTATACAGTTTGCGCGTAGGCGGTTAAATTATGTATATAATGTCGTATGTAGACGGGGATATTATATGTAGTTACGCACACAGAGGCGAAGCTGGCTCTGTAAAATCGAGCGACCACTGGATTTAATGACAATCTCGTATTTGGGAGCAGTTGTCGCTGAACAGGTGGTAAAGGATGTAGGGTACGCGCGTGCATCTCGACATATTCTCTCGTTTTCCTCGCATCGGCCCGCGCTGCATTATACAATATTTCCCCGCGAAGTTTTATATGACTGTGAGACTGTGACTGTGACCCGTATACGTGCGCGCGCGTGTACTAAATAAAGAAAAAGGGAAAAAGGGAGGAGGAGAATTCTTCATCCAGTTTGGTGATCCGGAGTTAAGAGATTTTCTTCTCTTGACGTTCCATGACTTCAGTCGGCGATACAAAGTGAGTATTATAAGGTTGTGCGAGGGTGCGGGGAAGAATCCGCGAGTAATGGGTGATTACGAAGAGGAGTTTGCGATGGTCGTCCAATACGTGCGATCTCTGAGTTGGCAAGACAATTAAGTTTTAATGTTACAAGATGCGTTATGGCTGCTTTGTGAAATTTCCATGACTCCAACTTCATTTATTTGCAGATCAACAAAAAATGACAGTATTAGAAGCAGAGGAGGATACTTATGAACAGCCGAATCCACCAAAGAAGAAACTTTGTCTCTCTCTTTCGGCCCTGTCAGAAAGACGTAATCAAGGAATCAATAAAAATAAATCCGATCTTCAAGTAGTCGGAAGGGCTAGCACTAGCCAAGCACGTCCTTTCCAATTAAGTAAGCAGCATAATATTCTATTTAAGCTTGTCGAGCGTAGTAATTTAGTTAAAAAAAAAAAAACCAAAAAAAAAACAAAAAAAAAACAAAAAAAAAACAAAAAAAAAACAAAAACAAAAACAAAAAAACAAAAAAACAAAATAAAAAATATTCCTCGTCTGTTTATTTTAATTGCGTGCGTGTATTATTGGTGTTTAGTTGGGGTTTGTGAATCCTTGGTACGTAGTTTATTGGCTGGTATCGTAACAATATTGCTGCATCGATTACGACTTGATACCTGAGACTTTATAATCATGCCTATTATTATGATGTTCTGATATTTATAATTTGAATGGTAAATGAAAATACACGCATTATAAGCAAGCATATTAACGAATTTTTTCCTTGTGCAGGTACAGGCAAAATGTTGAATGATTTTCAAAGGCTGGGTAGTAATCATCGGGATCCTGGCTGCGATATAACATCAAATATTATTATTGGCGGTTTGCGAATAGCGACTTTGTGCAATTTGGGCAATACTTGCTTTTTAAATAGTATACTTTATACGCTGCGATGTACGCCATCTTTCTTGCACAATCTTCATCATTTAGCAACGGATTTATCCATTATCAGCGAAAAACAGCTTCAAACGAAAGTACGAATGAGTTGTTGATGTTGTTGTTTTTTTTTATTTATTTATTTTATTTTTTTTTTTTTTTTTTTTTTTTTATACACACAAACGAGAAATTAATGGTAAATTAAGCCAACCAACATTATTTACACGCTTGAGATTGATATTATTTTATTTCTAACTTAAATTTAATTATTATAAACATAAAAACTTAATTGTTCTACGTAATTTTCTAATTTGCTGCCAAAATACAAAATGCCTTATTTGCATAGTTGCAACGCACAATTTATCACATTAAACAAGCAATCTTTTAATACATATACAATATTATAGTCTTAGTAGCTTTAATATTCTAATATATCTTTATTAATTGCAGATAAAAATATCATCCTTAGGTAGAACTGGTATGTCATCAACGACAAATAGCAGTCGAAGCTGGAGTAATAAAGATCTACCATCGTTGACGGCTGTAAGCGCAGCGACAGAGCTCAACAAACCTCGAATTCAAGTAGCTACTGAAAAGTTACACGAATTGTTTATGTCATTAAGAGAATTAGAAACAAGGGAGAACAATGAACCTTTTCAACCCGATGCTTTTTTACAAGCACTAAGGTAAGTTTATTTCATGGTACATTTATTATTATTATTATTATTAAGCTATAAATTATTCAGCCGCGACAAATGAAATTTCTTCGTTTACGTTAATTTTAACAAGATACGATTAAAATTAATTGAATAAGCTTTAGCAGCTGTTAAAAATTTTGTGACAATGTCAAAAGTGACACTGTGGCAGAAATGAGCTGAAAAAACAATGAAAATAAAAAAAAAAAAAAAAAAAAAAAAAAAAAATTTACGATTCTTTCTTACAGGGATGTCAATACAATATTTGAGGGCAATCAACAGCAAGATGCGCACGAGCTACTTGTTTGCCTCCTTGACAATATTCGCGAGACGTTTCAACTTTTTGTGAGAACACGTGAAAATCAATTTAATTGGCGCGTAAACGCTAGCACCAGTACCCAGGTGGACTCGCTGCAGGATCGCGCACTGCAATCCGACAGCAATAAGCGCGGCAATCGCAAATTGCAGAAGCAGAAGAAAAAATCGGCGACGAGTTCGGTTCGCGCCACAAGTGCCAGTGGCTTCTTGCAAATGAATGTCAATGGCATGACCGTTAGGTCCACGACGTCGGGCAGACACCCGTCGGAGAACGGGAGTGTTACGCCTCCAACGATTAACGGCGATATCAATACCTTCAATCGATTAGAGAATAAGAAGTGCTTTATATCGGAAGACTTTGAGGGGGTTAGTCTTCTGCGGACCACGTGCTTGGAATGCGAGCAAGTTACTGAGAGAAAAGAGACTTTTTGTGACATCTGCGTCCCCATTGATCGATCAAACGAGAAAGGTTTGTTTCTTATTTTTTCACTGGCAAAATTAAAATCGCAATATGGTTTATTTTTGTGACTCGACCTTGTGCGCCATACGTCCGATAATGATACAGTTCACCAAGGGTATGCACCAACTGGTGCTAATAATGCTGTAATTGATATTGAGTTTTTTTTTTTTTTTTTTTTTTTTTTTTTTTTTTTTGTTTTAGACGATGACGGGAAAACATTGGATTGTAGTGCAATTTTTAGAAAGGCTGTCGTAACGAGCGAACTATTATTTGGTTCGAACAAATATTGGTGCGCCACATGCTTACGGTACAATGAGGCCACACGAGCCGTCTGCTTCCCATCATTACCACGATTACTCATTTTACAATTGGAGCGATTTTCCACAGCTGCTGGGTAAGGATGTTCATCATTCAATTCGAGAAGCCTTCGATTAATATTAATTTTGTATTCATCGTTGGCTTATCAATTGCCTTACCATTGCAATCAATATTGATAAAATGAGCCAAGAAAAAGAAATAAAAAAACGAAAAAAAAACGAAAAAAAAAGAAACGAAAAATTAAAAAAAGTATCGAGGATTGTTAGTTACTTTACGTGCTATGGTAATTGATATTATATAACGTTTAAAATGCTATTTACGGTCCGGAAGTTCCTACGTAGAAAAAGTTCATCGATAATTACGTATCAGGGCAATGTTTGCAATCAAGTCATTATCTTTGGTATCCTAATACTCAGATTGAATTTTGTGTTGATTTTGGTAGTTCGTATCGACGAAATTATGTCATAAATGAAATGCACCGATCGTAAAATATAATTCTGTAAAAATTATAAACCGAAAGCTCAATTTATAAAGACGAATAATAAAGTTTTAATTGTATAAGAACATCTATTACAATCGGCTATAATATTCGTAATATTTTTAATATCTGAAATGTTTTCATCTTTGAACACTTAAAAATAATGTCAAATAAATCTGTAAACTATATAAATGTAAAGAGAGAGAGAGAGAGAGAGAGGGAGGGGGGGGGGGGGGGGGAGGGGAGAGACAATGGAAATGAAAGAAAGAAGGATATATAGAGATAGAGTAATGTGAAAAGACGCGTATATTGAAAAACAAGCAAAAACGATATTTTGTTTTGACAGTTCAATGGAGAAGATCAACAATCACATGCCAACGCCTTTAAGTCTACAGTGTTTCTGCGAACAGTGCAATATCATTACCGATCAATCTCACCTCATGGCTGGACAGTCGTCGGGTACGCATCAAAAGGAGCTCCATCAGCGCCATGTTTACAACCTATATTCTGTTATAATGCATCAAGGAGCGACGATGACAGCGGGTCATTACGTTGCGTACACGCGTTTGCCGAGTGACTCAGTCCACACGGAGTACAAGCAGTGCGAGCGCGACAGCAGCACTCATCGACAGTACAGCAACCAGGTAAATTGGAACGCCTCGTGTTCTCCACTTTATTTTCCACATCAAGATTTTTTGCCTCGTTGGAAAGTTCATTTTATTCCTACGCCTGGCGTATGACGATGTCTTCGTACATTATTTTCCTACTCGACTTCATTGATCCTTGATAGAGGATGGATTTGCAAGCTCGATAATTATCAGCTGTGATTATTCAAACCGATGTTTCTAACATAGTATTCTAAGATTTATAATTTAGGGTTGATAGTATTTAAGTAGCCTTATTATTTAGTAGTGAAGGGAAAATTAAGGGAAAATGTAAGACTATGACGAATTATAATAGTGCATTTGCTCATAATAATCAAGATCCGAACGAAACACTTGAGTAATTAAGCATTTTAAAGTATGATATTATTAAAATATAATGTACTTGATATATTTTAAGGAAAATTTGGTATAGCAAGATAATGGTAGCTTTGACGCATCTTCATTTAACTTTAGCTTCATACCTTCGTGGTTGCAGATTTATACAGGTGTATGTAAAGTATCGTCTCTCGCGTTGAATATCGCAGAATTAGTTGGCACAAAAGAGCTAATAATAATATTAGTTGGAAGTCTATTTTAAAAATTCGTTCGTCATAATATGAACATGTTTTACGAGATATTTTCAAATCGTATCTTATTTGGTTGCTGAGGATGAAGTTGAGAGAGGTGATTTAATCGATATCGGATGCCACAGCGAAGATGGACAAGATATCCTGAGTAGAACATTGAAGATTTCTGGTCATTTGGGTTTGAGTGTGGGTAAAGGTGAAAAAACTAATGGTAGTGCGACATGTAGAATATCCGTGTTGAGGCTCAATACGACAGAATCCGTACTATCAAAGGAATAAATCTAATCGTTAGCCAAGAATTGTTTTTTTTTTTTTTTTTTTTTTTTTTGCACAGTTTAGGTTTCCTTTCCTGGATGAATCATCGAGTCCTTAATGATATGCATTAATATATTTTTAAATCGGAATCTAATGTTTTTACTGTACGAATTGAAAAATTCTTAAATATTGGAAGCAAGTGGCTTTTGTCAATTTTTTTTGTTTGTTTGTTTTTGTTTTGTTTTGTTTTGTTTTGTTTTGTTTATTAACGAGGAACGGAAAGTATCTATAAATATGTCAATGAAAAATACAATTTACTTTCATGTAAAATAATTGGCTGAATAAAATTCTCAAAACGATTGAAGAGAGGGCAATGAATGCAGGAGAACTTACAATTATTAATGTTGTTATGCGCGGTAATTATTCACAAGAGTAATTTATGCATGGATTTGGTGGTTATGGCTTGGATTGTTCGATACTCAGCTCAATCGCCTTTATCTTATCCTTTATTTTTTATTTGATCATCAAGTTCGGAAGCAAATACTCGAATACTCGATTAAATCGGCCGATCTCGACGGCTTTATGTTGTTTTCTTTATTATGTTCTTTTCCTTAGGTTTCTTAGGTGTCAAATTCGACCTCTAAAATTTTTCAATCTATAGGACAATATATAGTTATAAGTTAATTTAATAAGTGATACAATTGTTTATGAATATGTAATTAGCTGGATGAGAAAATAACAAGCTGTGTAAAATTAATCGAGTTGTGCTACGAAATCCCTGCACCCTCGGCATATCTCCATTAAAATCTATTTCAATATTGTCAGATAAAATTGTTTAATTAGAGACTTATGCCACCCCTTCGTGACATTCTCCTCTAAAATACCGCAACACGCAAGCTCGTGCATTACACGGGATAATTAAAAATCGCCATTTTATTATTTAATCGCAAATAAAATTAAATCATCAACGTTTTACGCGTTACGGATGATTATTTTGATAAAAGGTCAAGAAATTGTCTTCTTAAAATCATGCGCGAGTCTACCGAAACTGTTTAAATGCAGTTTAGATAAGTCGCGTAATTGCGCGACAAAAATATTCCATTGGCTGACTTAAAAATGCTGGAATGCAAACGAGTGCAATGAAGAAAAGCGTCGAAATAAATATGCACAAATTCATTAATTAAATGTCATTGAAGTTTCTTTGCATTAGAAGAAATATATAAGATGCTCGTATTTGTAGTAATTCTATTACGTAGAACAGAAAAAGAGCTCGTGCAATGATTTCTATTTAATTATTTCGTAATGGAACTACGACAATTCCTAACTTAATTGCTCTATGATTATGTGCATATGGCATAGTGGATTGTCCGTAATTGTTAATGGTATTGTACATTATAGATCTTTTATGATCTACATTGTTTTGAATGTGCGGATTAATGTTAAATGAGATTATGCTTGTGTGTTGGTTAAATTCGATCGATTGACGGTCTCACTGTGTTGCTGTCATACATCATTTATTTTATTTGTCGTACATAATTTGAAATTCTGGCATAGTATATGGTAATAATTATTAATGATCCAATCAAATGAATTCCAAATCATTGTAGAGACTTGTAGAGTGTTAGTTAGAAAAAAACGAGCGGGTTCTTAAAATTTATTCTTAAATCTTCTTTGAGGAGTTCAATTTTTTTTTCCATCTCTTATTATTGATCATAATGTATTTATTACTTATACAATTTATTACATATTACGTATTAAATATTTCAAATTGGGACTATTTTTTAATTTTCTTTTAAAATGCTTTCAATAAATGAATATCTTATCTATTTTCCATTGAGTAATACTGCTTTTTATATTTCATGCGATGGTTTAATACTGATAAAGCATTAATGAGTTTAACGATTTTCTGATTGCTTGATGTTGATGGGTGACCCCTTTATGTTTTCTCATCGATATTTTTCTAATATTTCATATACTCT